TTTTGGACAGGAGGTAGGACGTCTAGCTTTATGCCCTTGTTGTAGGACTGGAATGCGATAGGTCGCTGTTTCGGCAAGGGTTTCTTCTGGGTCTTTGGGTGCATTTTCTTGTGCACTTCATGCATTTTTTCATATTGATCGGGGCTGGTTTGTGCTTGAGCTTCCGCAGCTGCCGAGTGTGGTTCCAACAGCGTTAGCTCTGGTTCTTGTGGCTGCTGCTGTTCTGTATTTGCGGCTGCTGCCTCTTTACCATTATTTTTTGCAGCTCCGTGAGCCAATGCTTCGGCTGCCTCATCGTCATGCTTATCTGGTTGATCATGGCAGTCTCTCAGCGGTATTGCCTTGCTCATCATTTTCTGCGTGCTTCCGTTCTGGCATGGCACACTTGCGGAATTTCAGCCCTCAAATACTCGAGCGCCACTCGCACTAAGGCGGGCCCATGGGTCGGGGTCCAGTAGTGGTGTCAGCTCTTTGGGCCGGTCCCCGCCATCGACTGGTTGGTCGCCGGATCCCCAGTAGTATGCACAATGACCAGGGTAGAAGTGCACCCTTGCTCAGCAAAGCTTTGCGGAAGGTTTGGCTGCTGTTTGTTTCATGGAGAAGAACCATGGATGCTGCGTAGCTGATTTCGAAGTGAGCAGGCGATTGGAACCAACTGTTCCAGCGTGGCTTCTGGCTTGTCCTGCTTCACCTTCAAGAGCTGCATCCTTCGAACGGCGTGAAGCCGCTCAACCGTTCCAAGCCGGTAATGGGCCTCACGAGGAATCAACTCCAGTTTGATGTTTTTGTCATCCATGTAACTGAGGTAGAACTCGTTCATGTGGGAACCAGCTGCATCAGTTCTCACTCGAGCTGGGGTGCCAAAACGTCGCTCCAGGCATCAAGGATTTTCAGATCTTCTTTCTCAGTTTTGCTCTGGATCACGGCATTAGATTCGTACTTGGCGAAGATGTCAATCAGGGCGACAATGTTTTTTCTATATTCATTCCACTTGATGTGGAAAACATCTTGCTCCACTGGCAAACGTCGCAGCTGTTTTTTTTTGCGGCTTGAATCACGTTTTCCTCAACTCCCCCTTATTTCAAGGCCTGAACTCGTTTGTCTCTTTCTGGATGGCCAAGTTGCCGATGCATCTTCTCCAACGATTTTTGATGTGACTATGACAGCTTCATTTCTTCTTCGGTGACTTGATCATCGACCATGGTTTCATCTGCCTCTTCAGCTACCATGATCATTGATCATCATCAGTTCCTTCTTCAACCAGGCTTTGTCCATCTCATCATATATGGCCTTTCCGGCTCTCTTCACGAATCCAGGTTCAGAATTTTGCATGGTCAGCAGGGTTTGGTTTCCTCCTTCCATTTGAGCATGCCTTTCTTTGCATTGGCAATGGAGATGTAGGGCTTCAGCTGCTGCTTTGGAACTTGTTCAGATCCTTTTTTTGCTTTCGCACTAGACCGGACTCTTCATCTCCTTCGTATTTAAGGCCAGTGCGACAACGATTGCAGATGCCTTCATAACCACTTAGCCATCGACCGGATGTGCGCGGAAAAAGAAAACTGCCAGGTTGCCCTCATCGACGTACACCTTGAAAAGTTTCAGTTTTTTTATTTGTTTCAATCTCTGGACAACTCTTTCTGCCAGATCATGTTTCTGCCATTCGCGGTCCATCACCATGGTCTTGTCCTTCTCATCATCTCGGATCACCAAACCTTTTTCCACCACTGCCTGGATGTCCCAAACATCATCCATATTTTTTTTTTCAGCAATTTCGTTCCCGGCACCAATCCCATCTCCTGCACGAACTCACTCTGGTGGAAGGCATCCATCACATAGTTGTTCTGGTACATCATGAGGACCAGGATGTAGTGGCCTTTCTCGTTTCTCTCCGGCTTGAACCAGCCAGCGGACCTCGCCAAGAGGAAGGGTGTATTCCTGGAACCACTGACACCGTAACAGGCAATTTCCGTCTATGCGTCACCGCCATGAAGTCAACCTCATAGAGCGATTGCATCCCAGGCCACGTCTCTCAACCCGCTGATCACCAGATACGTTCCCTCCACAGACGTGTCATGTCCTCGTCTCATGCACTGCTTTTCAAATAACTCCAGGCGTCTCCTGTAGCTACGGTAGGTCTTCTGCGTGAGGCCATCTGCTGAAGGACACGCTTTCGCCAATCCTGAGTCCAAGCCTTTAGAGGAAGGGCTTGGCGTGAAGGGAAGCTGCATTGCTGGTCCTTCGACAGTCCTCTTCCAGTCTGTGGGATTTGTACTGTCCCGATGGTCCAGGCATAGTCGTCCTGGCTCTCCGGTCCTCCTGGGGCTTCCACGCTCTGCCCCTGACATGGGTGACGATCTTACCCTCGATTTCCTGAAGGAAAACGAAGAGCGCCTCAACCAAGTAGGGTGCCGTGGGAGCCCTCAAGCTGGATCGCCTCCAGCTCCGCAACCAATCTCGCTGTAGAAGGTGAACAGCACACAAAGTCCGCACCTTCTTCGTCCAAGCGAAGGTCGCTACCTGTAGGGTCGTGCCACGTTTCTGACAGCTCAAGGGCCCTAAATGGCCACACACATGGAAACATTAATCGAAAATCACATGACATCAAATGTGGTGTTGCACGACACTCAGATTTTGTGTGTTCCCTTTCGTACTTCGCAATCTCACCTTCCCACCCTTCCAACCCTCTCTGCCATTGACTTTCTTTCGGTGCAACGGTGGGATTCGAAAGAGCTCTCAACCAGGCAAATGGTGTGTGCTTGTTTCCCGGCCCAATTCTCGCGCGCATTCTGCGCCATAATTCCAGACCGGTCTGCTTCGTTGACAATTGTTCATCGGCCTCCGTCATTTCGACTGTGGCCACTTCATCACTTTCCACTTTCCATTGCCTTTTTTTTCTACGGATTTGTGTATGTCATGTTGAATCCACAGTGCTGATCCACGTGACAAAGCTCAGGTGGATTCACCAACTTCGGGTTCAATTTGTTTTTTAAAATGAAGGTTGGCCGCCTTGCACATGGCGTGGGGGCATGGCTGATCTTTGTGATGAAGGGCAAAACTTGCAGGGGGAACCCAACATGTAGCACAGCTTTTGTGAGCCACCTGCGAACAACATTTGGAGGAAAGAACCCCCTTTGGGGCCACCTGAAGATCCTGAAAGGTAACATTCAGAGGAAAGATAAACGAACCGTTCCAATGTAGCATAATTTTTGTGAACCACCCGAGCCAAAAGTTGAGAAGGGGAAAAACCGTAGAAACGTAGCAGCGTAGCATAGGTCCCTTGAGCCACCCGAGGGGAACAATTACAGAGGAAAAACAACATTTACCAACCGCGACGGGAAATTTAGAGGAAGGAAAAACCATGGAAACGTATGTCATTAACAATGTATCCTTTTCTCGCCCTTTGTCCATGTCGTGCCAAGATTCCCGCACACTAAAGTGTAACCGCCATCATGAAGTGTTTGTTTTTGGTACCGTGTTGATCACGGAAGCCAGCCTTCGTAGAAGGCGCCAGCTGAGTTGTGAGAAAGTACCACGTAAACTCGAAATTAGGTGGGGGAGAGGGGTGTGCGGAAGTAAGGTTTTGAGGTTGAGTTTTTGTGATTTTTGAGGGGGTGGTTGCGTCATTTGCATCATCCGAATGGGAAGGTGTAGCTGGCGCCATATACACCCAGGTAGCTACAATTCAGTTGCCATGTGTAGTACTTCAAGTTCCCTTTCCGTCAATCGCTCCATAACCTTTAACACACGCACAGCAATCCACAGCTTTGAAACCTCATTCGTGCTTTGAACTTGTATATATATATATATATAGGTGTGCAAGAGGTATAGCAACATAGCATTCATATGGACCCAGGGTATAAATGCTATGTTGCTATACCTCTTACACACCTATATAAGTTCAAAGCACGAATGAAACTTCAAAGCTGTGGATTGCTGTGCGTGTGTAAAGGTTATCGAGCGGCTGACGGAAAGGGAACTTGAAGTACTATACTTGGTAACTGAATTGTAGCTACCCTGGGTATCTCTATATACCTGGCAAGGCGCCAGCTGAGTAAGAAGGGGGTTTCGGTGGGGTGGCCTGAGAAAGGACACTCGAAAGTAGGTGGTGTGCAGGGGTGCACGGAAGCAAGCTTGGGAGGTGCTTTTTGTGTGACTTTAAGAAATGCAATTGTCTTCGGTTGCTTGAAGTGCTATACCTGGCAACAGAATTGTAGCTACCCTGGGTCCGTATAAATGCTATGTTGCTATACCTCTCGCACACCTATATAAGTTCAAAGCACGAATGAGACTTCAAAGCTGTGACTGCCGTGCGTGTGGAAAGGTTATCGGGCGGTTGACGGAAAGGGAACTTGAAGTACTATTCTTGGTAGCTGAATTGTAGCTAGCCTGGGTATCTATACCTGGCAAGGCGCCAACTGAGTAAGAAGGGGGTTTCGGGGAAATTGAAGTGGAAAGACATACTTCAAAGACCTTGTTTCACCACAGACGTGCTCGTGGACAAAAAACGCCAGCTTTCGTTTTGCAGCTTCTCAGATTGAAACTGGCAGAACTAGCTTTCAGTTGCAATTTGTTTTGACCCTTGGCCCCCGCTGAATTTGAACCAGCCCTTCGTAAACCAATCGAAATTGACGTAAAAAGGTTCATTCCTTTTGCCTAATGCTGCAATCGGTCTTTCAATCAGTTCATTATGGGTTCCCTGCTCCAGCAAAAAAGAATCACTTCAAGTGAGGAATTGGGAGCCAAACCCTATTTATATATTTGCAGATTTGTGGGTTGCGTAGTTGCAAACTTGATTACGGCCATGTATTTGCAACCAAACGACTTGGCCCAGGATCGTTGTGTGCTACATTTGTCATGAAAACAAATTGGCTTGGTCGGATGCCCTCACTATCAACGACGAACGCGAACGGTCACCTTTGCTCCGCTGGGGGTGAATCCATGACAATTTCGGATCAGAAGGGCTATGGGATTGGGCGGTGGCTAGCGCCGCCCTTGTCCACATGCTGCCCATTGAAGCAGGCACGGTTGCTCATGTGCTTGGGTTGGTTGGCGCTTGGTGTCACCAAGGCCCGCTGGTGGGGCATTCGCGGCCTCAAGCCGAGTGGAAATTGTTGGCGCAAAACAAGCTTATTCGAACATCCGTTTTTGAGAGGTTGATAGTTCATTCGCGTCCATCCACTTCCGTGCGCGACCTAGTTGAGTGGCTTAATAATATTAACAACAGTATGTCGTTGTGCTGCATCCAGCAGCTTTGCTGCAAGGTGGCGGCTCCTCAGCCACATGTTTGCAGAGGCTTGTTTGGCCGCCACGGGTGTTGGATGAAATTGTCAGCTTTGTGCGAGGACAATCTGCCATCATTGGTGGCACCGCAGTAGCATGCGCCCGTTATTTGGCCCAGCGGAGGTGGCCCTGTGAGAGCTACCTCGAACATGTGATTTACTTGCTATTGACTTTGCAGTGTCAACTAGGCCAGCACATGGTTCTTACTTTTCAATGACTGGGTGCCTGTCTTTCGTTTTGCCATGCGGTTGCTGTGTCGCTGCTGCCTGATTTCCCCACTTGTCTCCTCACATGTTTCCCCCACTTGTTTGCCCGTGTGATCGGCATTTTGGTTCGCCGCTGCTGTGCCGCTGCTGCCTTGTCTTCTTACATGTCCTCCTACTTGTCTCACGGGCTAGGTGGGCAAGGAAAAATGTGGTTCCGTTTGAGTTAGTTGCTACCTGGGGCCTATGCAGTCTATGCCAGTGTAGCATTTTCGACTTGGCCAGCACATGATTCGGGCTCTGTGGCATGTTTGCAAGTCATGGGCAGCATGAAGAAGATCCACGCGGACAATCATGTGCAGCAAGCGATGGCCGTTGAACCCCTGACTCCCCACACCAATCAAAGTCTTTCATTTCTGAAATTGTTTCAGGTCAAGCGCGTGCCGCGCGAAAGGCAAGACCACTCGACAAGCTGGAGGCAACGAAACGGGCACCGCCGTTGTTACTTCCCGTGGGGTCCAGGCACTTACGCCAAAAGGGTTCATATTGGAGTTTGTTTGTGTGGCAAAGTTTTCCTGTTTTGGTTTATGTAAACGTGTTCTTTTGCTTTTGAGGTGAGGAGATCCTCGAAGGGCTGGCTCAAGAGGTGCACATGTTTTTGATGTGTTCTTTTTGAAACCTGGGTGACTTCACTGGCATGGGCTGGTTTGTGTGACAGCCTCAAGGATGGTGTGTGTTGATGTTGCGGCCAAATTGCAGGTTGTTCGCCCTAATTTTGCCCTGTACAGGTGGTCGGTGTTCGACAGGGAGTTCGGCTGTTGTTGGCGGAAGGGTTAGGCAGGAAGTTCAGAAGTGCAGGTTCTCAAGAATCAACGTGGCATAGATGTGTTGTGATGCGTTTGAGTTTATCCCGCCTGGATTGCCAGGTGCCTGTTCCGCAAACGGCTTCACGCAAAGGCAAAAGATGATAAAAGAGGTTGGGAATTCATTGTGAGGATGGTGCTGATGTCGGTTCTTGCAGCTAAGGTGGAACACTTATTTGGTGTGTTGTTGCGAGACTTGAGAGCGCCGGCAAGCAACAAGGTGCCAATGCAAACCACAGTTTTCCTGGTGTTCCTCCTCCATGTTGGGTCGTTCAAGTGAATCAGGAAAACACATTCACAAGGACAATAGCGGACATAGAAATACTGTAGTTGTTGAAGGTTCGATGACAGTTCCAACAAATTTGTCCATTCAGTATAGAGAGTGAAAGGTTCCCATGGCCCCTGGCCAGTTGGGAGTTGCTTTGCTTGTGTTGCAAGGTTTGTAGGAGTTTGTTTCACAATTTGCAGTGCATCCACCGCTGCAGGGCTTGACTGAGGAGGAACTCGCCTGCATTGATTCTCCACTTGCCACCTGTGCCTGTGTTTTTCTCAGCAACTCTCTGCGCTCTCTCTTTTGTCGCTGCAGGAGGGCATCCAACTCCGCCTTTTCAGGGTGAGCCTCGATTTCCTGTCAGGTCTCGACAGGCGATGACACGGTTGCATCGTGCGATCTGTTGCTTTCACGGAACTAGCTGGGCTGCGGCAGGGCAAGTGTTGATTTCGGTTCCTGAGGTTGGAAAGATGGACACCGGATGAGGACCATTTTCGCTGATCTGAATGGCTTTTGCTTTTTCAAGTCTTCGCGCCTGGACAGGGGGTCACATGTGCTCGCGGAAAGGGAGGAACCTTGGACTTTCTGCTTTGCAGCTATTGGTTCCAGTGCCGTCGGCGCGTTCTTACCCTGCACGCAGGGTGCAGGCCGGGAACTGAAGGCGGATCTAGGTGGATAATCTAGGGTCCTTTTGGTCATCCTCCAGAAATTCAAAGAAGCTTGTGGAGACCTTTGGAGGCGACAGGGGCGAATCGGACTTGGACAATGCTGGCTTTCCCAGGTGCATGTGGCCTGGTTTGCACGTACCCACGCTCGCCCGAGCTAATGGCCACACAGAGGAGCCAAGGCGGGAGCAGAGGCCTGGGTGGCGCACGCGAGAGAGAGAGAGAGAGAGAAGCAAGTGCCCCAAGAGGATCTCGCAGTCTGAGCACGGCCAAGGCCACCAGAAAGCGCCCATGGTGCTTGGAAGGACGTGGCTTTCTTGTGGCAGAATTAAGACTCAAACAGTTTGCCCCAGTGTCTCGAGACAGGAGGAGTATATGAATGACCTAGACTCTTTGCTAAGAGTTTCCGCTGGTGGGACGCGGGACTACATCATTCCCGCAAAGTGCCTAGACCAGACTCTTGCCTGCACGTCCATTGGAAGTCTCTTTTAAAAAACGACTCATCAAAATGCAATTTTTCGATCCGACTTTGGCACATATGAACTTCTGAGTTTGAGAGGCGCACTCGCAACAAACGCACCAAATGCCCAGTCAGTTGATCAGCTTGATTCCACCAGCTCAAGGTTGCCATCTAGAAGTTCAAGCCGGAGAGCTTTGGACTAGATTTGCGTATGGTTGTGCCAACGTCTTGTCACACAAGAAGATTCACTTGTGTTGCTGCCCTTGCAAGTGATAATGCTGCTCGTGTCCAAGGTAGCGTGCGAGAATTGCTGCAGAAACATGCTATCGCCAGCATACCAGGATCACCCTTGCTAGCTCTTTTTCTTTTAAAGGATGATTGCTCGCACTGCATTTGTGTGTGGCAGCTGCACCAGTGACCTTTTTGGGTGCCCTGGTGACCTGAGCATTTCCAGGCTCTGGGCTGAACCATATTGACAGATGCAATGGCTTCGGCAAGATACCCGTCTGCATGGCCGGCGAGGGCCTAGAAGAGATTGCCAAGAAGTGTGAAGACAGCGGGCTCAAGCTCCTTGGATTGGGTGACAGCCCAGCCTCCGAATCATGCGAGGACCCAGTCTGCACAGCCTTGCAGGATTGTGATCATGTCAGACCACGAATCCTTCAAACTCCTTGAGATTTGGGTGGGCATAGCACCATGTCCCATCCCGCTCAAGACAGCTGAGGCCAGAAGTCTTGTGCTCAAAGGAAGGGTGCAAGTTCTTTGAGGGAAGCCGAGAGAACAACCCCTTTGTCTCTGCACAATCCCTGACGATGTCGGAGTCCTTTCTGCAAGTCAGAGGCTGTTTCAGCCAAGCATCAATGTGAAGGACACACTGTAAACCACTTTCTTTGGCAAGGACCTGTACATAGCAGCATACCTGTCATTTAACATACCGTATGCCAACTAAACCGTCATCGGCCGATTCAGAGCAAACCCAACTCCAGACCTGAGAGCAGCTTTCGGCTGCTCAAGCTGAGGAAAATGGCAAGAGGGTGCCTTTTTTGAAGCCCAGGATTGGGGTTTTGTTGCCTTTTGGTCCAGGTCGAACGTCCCAAGCAGAGTCACCATGCCTGTCAGGACGAGGCTCTCTGCCGATGATCGTTCAAAGCTGCGACTGCCAGACGTGTCAAGGCGAAAAGAATGGAGACACGTGTTGAATCTGTGGAGTCCTAACATGCTCAGAACAGCACACCGACGGCTTGAGATGTGCGCCTCAACAAAACCAAGGAAATATGTTCTAAGAGACACACCATCTCATGTTCTTTTTGGTGGATTATATTTGCCACATTCTACTGTACACTTGCATGATAACCACACGCAGCACGATTCGCCAGGCGCAAGGTGGCCTTGGACTTCTCAAGCAGCGATGCCGCCGCAACGAAGGTGGTCTTGATCGATGATGATGAAGCTGCCAAGTCCAGAGCCGAGAATGTCACTTGGAGACGAAAGTGGTTGTGCGAATTGAGGGCCCATGGACAGTGGTCCAATTGAACACCTTTTGAGCTCGCATGGGCCGTCTTGAAAGATTCTAAGCATTTGGGCTGTCTCCAAACGAGGGGTGGGGGGAAGGGATGGCCCCACTCTGGTTTCTACTTCTGCCCCAAGCTCAATTGCGGATCTAGACGAACACTTGCAGTACAAATGAATCACATGCAGTACAAGTAGCCATCACCGCGAGCGCCGCCCCGAGGCTGTGAGCGCTATTCTGCAGCAGATCGACTTCATCGTCTCGGAGTCCATGGGCTTCTTTGGCCCAGTCCTTCTCCTAACGGGAGGGAAAGCAGTGGCAATGGCAATTCGATGGACCTTGTTCTTTTGCTTGGTATTTCTTCATGATGGCTTGGTTTCAACCTCTGACGCCTGAAGTCAGGTGGAGGACCTTTCGTATGGGAACTCAGCGCTATACTCCTCCCTCGAGGCTGGAAAAGCCATCTGCAACCGACCGAATGAACCATAGGGTCGTTGCCTCAAAACAGCGCCCTGGACCTGTGCACAGGTGCTCCACCTGCTCCCAGTGCCTTGGTGTCGGCAGCTGCATGTGTACCGATGGTGGAGTGACACAGGATGTCAGGAAACAAAAACCTCTTTATCTAGCCATCCATCTTAGGCCCCTCAGAGGTTTAAACGCCAAACGCCTTGCGGCAGCTGAGCAAGAAAGAGAAGAACTACACAGTTGCCAGTTGAGCGTGGACGGCCCTACTATCCCCGCTCCTTCATTCTTCTACAGGGAAGTTGCAGTTGGGTGTCTCTGTGAGACATGCCCGCCAGACACGCCACAGAGAGAGAGAGAGAGAGTCAAATCATTTTATTAAAAACATCCAAACCAATAGTTTGTGAGCCCCTCACCACTTTCCAATCCGCTTCCCTTCTTTCCAACGCCATTGGACACCACCGGTGCCCGTCAAACTGAGGTGCCTGAGCCACCGGAGCTCTCGCTGCTCCATGAGGAGCTGGGCGCCAGCTGCGCCAGTGTGGCGCAAGAGTTCCCCCAAAACATCGTACCGCCCGAGCGTGTCATGGATGCAAGCAATGGGGCCCAGGTAGTAGGGTAGGGTAGAGGTAGTTTTTGAGTGGAGCCGGGAGGATAGTGATTAGCCACCTACCAAAGGGAGCTAATAGTGTTTTGTAAGTGGGTGTGGATCCTGGTGTAGGGGGATGGGATTTTGAGCTTGCTGACCAAAATTTTGTCAACAAGCAGGCAGATGGGTTGTTTGTCAAGTGCCTTAACATCTTTGAAGCTGAAGAATGGCACACAGGGAGTCCCTTGAAGACATTCGGGGCTGAAGAGGTGATGATTGTATATGGAGCAGTCGTGGGGAGTGGTCCCGCGCATCTCTGGATCACCTCTCAGACAGAGCAAGGTGGGCAACGATGGGGATGAGGGAAAGTGGAGATCAGCACTCAGCACACTGTTTCTTTGGTCTCAGGTTTGCAGCAATTCAGACTTAATTTTGTTTGATCCAAACGCTTCGACGCTACCAATGAGTCTTTGAATTTCACTGCTGCAAAGAAAAGAGACCCAGTTTATTCAATCTATCCTGGTTCATCGCCCTATACGTTGGTTGCACCCGAAAATCCACCTCCTAATGTGGACGTCTGGAGGGCTGCATTCGGGCCGAGGCCGTGCAGACACTACCTCCGCAGAGACCGGGACGCTTCGGGCCAAAGCGGTGCGGATCCGCGGAAGCCCGGACTCGGCCTACCCCTTCATGAAGGGAGTCGCTCGGCTGAAGATGGTTCAGCCGCGGTGCTTCTTAGGGCAGAAGAGGCTCAGAAAGGTTGAGACTGAAAAAGCTCGGATTTGAAAGGAACTTGGTCAGTGGTTGGATAGTTGTAAAGAATAGGTCGTGGCATGCTGCACATGGGCTAGCTATGTATGACACATGCACTTGAACCTTTGTGACAGCACACTTTCCACCCAGCCCTGTGAAAACCCCAAAATCAAGGTTTCTAAGTGTGTTTGGGGGTGTTGTGTGTCCAGTGCAAATCTAGCTTTCAGTGTGCAGACATCGTCAAGCCACTGAGGGTGACAAGATGCCTGAGATCAGCACCACCATGAAGCAAGAGATGCTAGTTGCAGACCCGGGTGGGATCGAGGAGTAAGAGCTTTCAGTCCGTCAGATTGAACGGAGAGGTTCGATCCACCGTGGAGCCCAGAAACCAAATCGATGTATATATTGTCTTCTGCCGGTTCGAGCCATTGTTGATATGACTTCTCCGAGATCGAACTAGAAGCGATTCAAGATGCTTCAGTTATAATGAAGGACCCATTGAAACGGGCATAGCGTGCACTTCCTCGCTCCAGCCGATGCGGCAACAGTCGCAGTTGCCCAAAGTGGATCTTCAGAGTTGCACAGTGACAAAAAGGAATACGTTTTAAGAACTTGGTGATTAAGAAACATTGAAGGAACCTTGCTATTGGAGAGTGTGTACATTTGTGTAGCACATAAAAGAGTAGGGAAAAAACATATTTTAGAATACCAATATATATATATATATAATATAAGTACAGATAGGCATCCCGCTTTCTACAGGCAAAAGTTCTTTTTTTGAGGTCATTTAGGTCCTTGCCTGGGTCTTTCTTCGGCCTCGGCAGGACGGCGAGAACAGTGTCTCCATCCAGATCTTGAGAGGTGGGGGAGCGAAGGGAAGAAAGGGGCTGGACCAGCTGAGCACCCGAAGGAGACACAGATGTGGATCCGGAAAGCCAGCTTAGCCTTTCCGGTCTTTTTGGCGCTCTGAAACAACCAAGAGATGCATGATTGGCGTTTTTCAAATCATTAGCCCATGGCGACAGGACAGAGGGCCTATTTGCCGGCATCTCTCTGGAATGTGGGGCTCTTGGTCATTAGAAGTTAGAAGCATCTCAGTCCGTTGTGTTGGTCTTCATGTTCTGCTCCTCATGCCAGAAGTATCAGGGATGACTCCGATTTTGCAAGATGCTCAGTTTGAGCAGCTGGAGCTTTGTCCTGTCTCAGCCGTTTGAGCCTCTTTCTGCGCCCCCAAATGTCAACCAACAAGGCGGGGGATTTGTTGGACTTAAGTCATCCATGGATGGAGTGAAATCGCGTGTGCCCCTCTCTCACTCTTGCTGCGGTTGCGTTCTGTGCAGGGGCACATAAGGCTTACGAAGCAAACGTTTCGATGGGATAGCGCCAGTTTCCTGAAGATAGTGCTTTTGACAGGATGTGAGGCAAGCTTGGCGTCAGGGACGTGGTGTCAAACTTCTTGCCATCACTCTACAAGTCTCGTTTCTCCGTCACTCTAAAGGTCGGGAAGACGGAAGTACTCATCCCGAGTGACTCGGCAGGTTTGCTTGAAGAAGCGCCCTGTGGAGGATGAGGCGTCTCGGTATGCGATCACCTTTGGGGAGGTGGCACTCCTTCATATAGGCCGGACATCGAAGCGAGGGTGTGACTCCAAACAAGTCAGACCCGGAATCTGTGGGTTTTGGTGGATTGTTCCTTTACAGGGGAGTTTGGGGTGGCACGCTTGTTGTGGGTGACAGCCACATGGCCAGATCATGTTTTGCTGGCAGAGAGGAGCGAGGCATTTTCATGCAAGATGCCTTTGAGAAAAGCCTGGTTGCGAGGAGCCCACAAGACCAATCAATAAGGCACCCAAAATCACCCACCTAAATGAGCCTAAAGGCCAATGCCACCAATGTCTGATGGGAGTGATCAATCAGAGCCTCAGACATGGGGTGGTTCTGCATCGGTTTTGCCTCTTTTAGATTTTCAGCCTAGCCGCCTAGCCCCCGGTCTAACTGGTTCTGGCAATGAGTTCAAGCCTGGCATGTTCAAGTTCGAAGGTCCGGCCACTCAAGACTCAACAACCAATGGATTCCGGTCGGCCTCCCGGGCGGACCGTCGCACCAGGTGGCAGGGAGCTCGGCGCCCCCCGGGCGCTCGGCGGTTTTACGGTGCCGGAGCTCGTGGCAGTGGCCCAAGGCCTTCCGAATGCAGTGCCCTGGGAGGGAAGAAGCGGGAGAAGGGAGTTGTGTCTTCGGGTTTGTGAGAATTCTTGCCCTTGGTTTTGGAGATCCAGATGTTCTTGTCCCACCTGCCCCTTTTCTTGAGTCTTCAGCAGCCCCACAAGCAAGACAAACATGTCCACATGATTTGCGCTTTGAAAAGCCATGACCATGCCTCACAACAAGACCCTTCACGAAGCTCCCACAGTATACTTCAAGAATGTCGCTACCGAATTGGAACAAAACGCGACGCAGCGCTTCTGCTAGGGATTTCTGAGTGCAGAGCTTGCCCAGGCCACCCGAAGATGTGCAAATGGTGTCCCCGGCCCCCCCCTTCTCAGATGTGGAAATGGACCGTCCATTCTGCCTGGACAGCGGGTTGACCACCATGACCCATTTGGTGTGGAATCGATGCCCAGGAGCTGGTGGCCTTGAGTGATGTTCTGCCAGAGGAGCTGAGGAAAGAGAATGAAGCGGCCACGCTGGTCATCCGGAATGGTGCATCAGCCACCTGGTCTTGATGTTCGCTGGAATGATCAAAGGTCTAAATTTGTGTTGGCACCTTGCTATTGGATAGAGTCGGAAGAGTGCACCCTCCCCTGCCAATGGCATGAGGCATTCCCGTTTGTAAGCCATGGCCTGCCCAGTTCAGATGTAAGGTGTTTCTGGGCAAGGGCGCAGCCAATGACTTCAAGAACAGAAGGCCAGCCGATAGTGAAAGGCTTTGCTGGCCCTAGATGGATCACAGGTTTGGCAGGAGACGTCGAAGCAACAGCCAGTGTAGTACCCGATGCCATTTAGCATCCGTCTAAAGCAAAGCTGGCTTTCATCCTCATACCGTGAAAGTATCTACAGCTGAATGACTTTGAAACGAGCGTGGTGGATGGATGTGTCTGAATGATATATGTATGTGCGTGCATATAGATAGAGTGATTGTATAGTTTGTATATATAATATCGATGCATACATGAACACCCCCCTTTTCGCATGAGATTTTTTTCTTCTTTAAACTTTTCACCCAGGCGCTCCTGTATGACAGCAAGTTTTGGGACGCACGGCGGTCCAAGACCCTCCACAAGCGAGCTCGACACAACCTCGTCTTCGGCGATCAGGGGGTAGAGCCAAGCCCCGAAGCTTGACGCAGAAGTGACGGGGTGTGCCAAGGCGCTTGGGCCAAGTTCGTCGTTTTTTTTCAGGCCCTTAAGCTGCATCCTTCAATCCAATTGAACTTGATACGGATCCTGGCAAATTGGCTGGAGGGGTGGGCCCAAGAGCATCAACTTTTGGACATGCCGCAGTTGGATCATTTCTTTGATTCTTGGACAGCCAAGGACTACAAGCAGCGCCTGGTTTGCAACCAATATCAGAAATATCAGATGACTCTGCCCCAATTTCGTTCCGTTTGGACATGTTGTGCCGACTTCAGGTACACAGCTCCTTGGATTGCAGTTCAGTGAATGCGCTCAAGGGGAGAGGGGAGTTGGCTTTCAGACCAGGTGCAGGCCTTTGAAAGCTTGCCGCATTTGTCGGCCTTTCGTGCAGCACTGACAGAGAGGCACTGACATTGACAGATTGCCGCACTTTGGAACAATTCCTCGCTCTCCTTCAGCCTATGACAGTGACTATGGCCAGGCTGGGTGCCAAAGCTGAGGGTCTTTGTGCCGAGGGCAATCATTGCCACTCGTCTCCAGATCAACCAAAGGCTTCTAGGTTGGAGGCCGTCCCTAGTAGGTTGGAGGCCATTACCACTAGGAACAAGAAGCTACTAGTAACAAGTGCATCGCTACTAGTAGCTTCTTGTTACTAGTAGTATGGCCAGGAGCCCCTAGTAGCGTCCTTGCTAGTAGTAAGGCCAGGAGCCCCTAGTAGCGTCCTCTTGTTACTAGGAATTAACGCAGTCTGGCGAGGTTTGGAGTCGGACCTTTGGATTTCCCACCTTTCGACCGGATGAGCGACGGCTGAGATTTCGATGCGTCGACGGGCATCGGATTTCACGGGGACAGCGAGAGAAAGCTTCTGGTCTGCACAGTGAAGCCGTGTCCTTTTTCACGCAAGTAGGCTGAAAGTTTGGGTTGGACAATGGCCCAGCATGCCCGCCAGCTGTTGATCATGCAGAAATGTAGAATCTTGATGAATAACCCCTCCAAAAGGTTTTACAATCCAAATGGAGGAGGTCACGAAAGCTAGCACCAGCTAGCTGGAGTTGTCCTTGCTTTAGCAAGTGAGGGGTTCAACTCCCCCCCTGGGACGCCTCTGGGACACCTCTCGGGCACCTCTTATGGCATCCACTTTGGTTTAACTCCTCCGGGATACGGTGCAACAGATTCAACAAGCTCACAGGTTCATGACATCGACATTGATAGAAGAAACCAAGTAAATCATGCAAGCAGCTTTGTTTTGCCTCTGGGACACCTCTTGGGCACCTCTTATCGCATCCACTTTGGTTCAACTCCTCCGTGGAGGTTTTGGGATACGGTGCAACAGATTCAACAAGCTCACTGGTTCGTAAACACATCGGATGCATCGAATAGTGTGGCAAAGTCCAGCCACGCTTCCTTAATTATCGGGGACTTCAATTCTAAGGTTGGCTGTGTCATTGCTGTTTGTGTGTCTTACATGTTCACAACGTTTTACCTCATGAGCATTTGCCTCAATCCACTTGATGTCCCACCGGTCCGGATGCACCCCTGCTAGCTTTCGTCACCTACCCTCGGCCTCAAGTTTAGTAATTAATCAAGATTCCACATTAACATACAGGAATCATTACCATTGTTCTGCTGGAGCTGTTTTAGCGGGGATTGGATAGGGCTTCTGAGACGAACTCGTTTGAGGATTGTGATTTGCTTGAGCCTTGGCATCAATAGACCTTGTTTAGACAGAATTCATATAGATAAGCTACCTTTGTTTTTTTTGTTCCAGCTGGACTGTTTGTTGACTCTTCTGCAGGGAGGCAGGCATGCAAGTCAGACCGCGATGGGACACATTGAATAGGCTCAAGACTAGCAGTGACTCAGTGATCAGCAGGACAACTGTTTTCGCTACTAGGAGCAAGAAGCTATTAGAGGCAGGCTCCTGGCATCGCTACTAGGAGCAAGGACGCTACTAGGGGCTCCTGGCCTTACTACTAGTAGCATGAAGCTACTAGGGGCTCCTCAGCAGGACAACTGTTTTTGGTCACCGGTCCTTGGAGTCCTCTCGACAAGAGCCCAGGAGCTTGGGCTGCAGCTCGACTCTTCGGTACTGCTGGCGGATGCCAGGCTCCTCCGAGAATGGGCCTTCCGTGGATATCGAGGCCAGGCACTCTTCAGCCTGTGGCGGTGCGTGAGAGGTGTGAGATTTTCTTCTAGAAAGACTTCGTCGTGGTGCTAGAGGTGCTAGACTTGTCCGTGAAAAAAAATGGTCATGGGCGCCCTGCCTACGAGCTGTGATCTTCTTGGGAGTTCCGTGAGTGACAACACGAATGACAACGAGAGTGCTTTCCTCTGTGACCTTGTTGTATTTCTGTTTTTGGTGGTGTTCAGTGACCTTTTTTCACATCAATCACGCCAGCTTTGATCATGGCAGGTCCATCATGGCGATGTCTATGCAACTTACCTTGACACTGGGTTCATGCTCCTGGGTTCAGTCTCCTGGGGCTGAAGTCAATTTTGGCGGATGTATGGGGAGCGTCCAGAGGCTCTTGTATTTTGGGTGGGCTGGGGCCGAAGAATCGATTCCAAAGGCTGAGTATGATCCCGTGACCCTGTGGCTTTCCTTTGTTTGTTGCGAAGGGTTCGCGTCGACAGCCAGGTGATGTCTGAGAAAGCGACAGGCTTCGACTGGCGACGAACCTCTAAAGTTCGAGTGGTTCATGCTGCAGGGTCCGCCAAGTACATCGGATGATCCGGGAGCGCGGTCACTGGATGGAGCAGCCTAGCGGCCTAGGTGTAACTGAAATGGCAAGAGCGGACAGGTGACAGTAATTTAATAGCCAATCCCATCAGCTTCTTCAGCGAATCCAGTGATCTTTGAAGATTTCCTTGTCTTGGGCAGCATCAGAGCCCATGCAGAAGTGCTTCCTGTGCAACATAGGAAGGCTTCGCTTTTGCCTTTGGCTGTGCAGATGTACAGGGCCGACTTCGGCGGTTTTGGAGGCCGAAGGCTGTGGGTGACTTCTTGCCTCGTCGAGTGCAGAGGCGAGCGACCCAGCCCATGGACCCGACGAGGGCCAGCGAGGTCAAATGGATGTGTGGGCCGACACGAAGATGGGACCAAGGCGACCAGGAGATTTGCCTGAGATGGTGTCCGAAGCCAATGGACGTTTTGGCCAATCTTGGCGCCAAGGAGCTCTTGGGACCAGAGGACTCGCCATTCTTGGATCATAGCTTCCTGTCAGGCACCGCTCTCAGCGACGAACGTTCATGAAAGATGGATCCAAAAATCCAACAAATACGTCAAAGAGTCCTCAGGTTCAAAAGGTGTCAATCCAGTGAAGAGGCGAGCAGACCTGGCGTCGTCTCGACCTGGTGGAACCGAGGTCTTGAGGAAACTGGCTGCTTGGGCCTGAGAGTTGTGTTATATAGGTGTTGGAATCCAAGGAGTTGAAACAGACGAAGCCTTTGCAAACTTTGGGCCATCGCCACTCACTTCGCCACGGCCCCGCAGCTGGCTCAGTCCCTTCTGGTGAATATCCTCGCTCATTTCACTCACTTCGCCTCGCCATGCTGGCCCGTGTGCTGGCCTCTGTGGCTTTGGTCCCCGCTCTGGGAATGAAGTGCCCAGGCTCCAAGAGCTTTCTCCATGCATGGGCTAAGCTGGAAGCCTTGGCAGACACCAGCTGCCAGGAGAGGAACAAGCATTGGCCTCATGCCTGGGGTCATTTGATGTTCAAAAGCAAACAAACCCAAGTGGTGGCTTTTCTGCTGGGGGTTTGCCTACGCAAGTTCGAACTCGTGCCGTACTACTCGAAAGATGACCGGACTTCGGCAGGATGTGATGGAAGAGATCAAGGCCCGGGTGAACGGGGATTGGCACGATCCACACAACGGGGGCACCTACTCTTTGGTGAGTGAGAGCTCTATGGAGCTTGACCTTGAGCGGGTGACCGGAAACCCGGCTGAAGGCATTCTTGGTCCTTTCTTGCCAAAATTGAGAAGAAATCTCGATTGGGCACCCATGCTAGGGAATGTAACGGCAGGAAACATTTGGCCGGTGAGTTCGGCATTGCCGCCACCGACAAAATGATCTTCACGTTCTCCGACTTCCCAGGGAGTCACCCTAGCTGTGGCATTCATGCCTGCTCAGAGTCGCAGGTCTTCTCGTTGAAGGACTTCTCCACCAACTACTGCAATCTCCGGAACCTCTACTGTAGCTTGGTTGGCAGGTTGTGCACCCCACCTGGTAGTTTTGGCGGAGGCGACAGGCATGTCCCACTAGTATAGCTTGGTCATGCTTGGTCTCTAATTGTTCCAAACAGTTATGAAATCCAAGGTGGGAGTGAGGAGGGCTGCAAGCCAGTAAAGCATGACTTCAACAACAGCGAGGTCTCTCTGGACAAAGCACGTTTCGCAGGAAAAGACAAAAGCGCCTGCATCGTGACTGGGAAGGAAACCCCTATGCTGCGGGCACAGGTTGATTTGCTGGGTGACACTGTGGATGATACCCTCAGCTGCATCAGCAGCAACTGCCCGTTGGACGCGGTGACCTTGTCACCAAGCCCTAGCTGCGCCTTGGGCAACTGTACGAGCAACCTGGCGAAGTGCCTTTTCTCCTCCAGCTGCCGCCAGGGTGTCATGTGCGAGCTGGGCTGCACGGAACCTCTGGCGAAGACAGAGGATGCTGTGCACTTTGCATCTCTGATGGAGTGCATGCGCGTACATTGCCCAGGCTTCCCTCCGAGCAAAAGCTGTGCTGCACTGCATTGTGCTGTTGAGGCCGGCTCCTGTGCAGTGCATAGCAAGTGTCGAGAGACCTTGGAGTGCGCCGACAAATGCGTACCAGGCAAATACACAGCTGCACTGTCAGCCATGCCGCGTGAAGCAGTGATTTGATTTATGCCTGGAGAACCTAGCTCCTTGCTGCACTGTAGAGTCTTGAGGTGCGATCCTTTTTGAAGCTTGCTCCCTCATAGGCTCATCCTTCATGTTTTGCACTCGACATGGCGAGGGCCATGCTCGAAAAAGAGGGTTGCGCTCCTAAGAACTGTTGTTCGCCTAATTGCATGCCTCACGCCCGCACGAACATGGCGATGTGTCATACCTCGAAGATGAAGCATTTCAGATGCCTTGGGGACGTGGTACGGAACAACTAGATGCGTCTGATGCGACCAGTCTGGCCTTGTCAGTCTTTCTGGCCCCAGGTGTGAGCCTTGAAAAGGGCTGGCAGCCTCGGTTCCTTTTAGCCCGGATCTCGGGACCCACAGACCAGGTGACCAGGCAAAGACCATCAACCGAAAGCAAAGAGAGGAATCACTGTGATTTCTTCCCTTTGTTTTGGTTGGTTTGTTTGGTTCACTTGGTGCAGTGTTTGTGGTTCATGTGGGTGGCGGGCTGGAGTGCTAGTAGCTAGGGTAAACGGATGAGCCCGAATTGTGAGTATGCAATTATATATGCCGTTTAGGATTGCTGCATCTTAAGATGCACCTGGCACTGAGCTGATCGAAGGACATTGAAAGATGTCTTGTCTATCAAGTCTCCATGTCGACCATGTGGGCTCAAAGATCTCATGATCGTTCTCTGAACCTTTGACCCCAGATGCCTGGCCCAGATGGCCTTCAGATGCCTGGCTTTTGCCTTGTGGTCTGTGGCCTCTGTGCCTGTGGCGGCCGGTGGCGAGGATCTACCTTCTCTTTTAGCACTTTGGTCTTGAATGCTTTCGTTGGTCTTCGACCAAATTGGCTGTCCTCGCTCTCTCAGGTTGCAATGCTGTCGAGAGATGAGGAGCACTTGCTTAAGCAGCATTTAAGCCTGTGGCGCGAGATTGGCGACTGCTTTCTCATTGGCTTGGACTCCAGAAATAAGGATTCCACCCAGGGGCACTATTCAGATCAGATACTCCCTGCATCTCCCAGCATCATGCCTCCCCTACTCTCCAGGACCGCTCGGAGGCCACGGCACGACGGCTCTTGGTGCCCAAGGAGCTGGAGGTCTATCACTTCGATTTCGTTGGCTTCGGTCCGGCCAAGTCCCAACTTTTGCAGGCCGAAGAGAACCATGTTGGGAAACACGTCGGGGAAGACGGGACGTGAATGGAGCAGCCCAAAGGGAGGAGGAGTTTGGAGGGGCACGTCAAGTCTTGGAAGGAATTTGGGGCCGCTGCCAGCTGCAGTTTGGCTTTCGTGTGTTTCACTCAGAAGGGAAACGAAGCGACCTCTAGATTGATGTTCTTCGCAAGCAGGCCCACGCCCTGAGTGAAATGTTCGGAAGTTTTGCATTTCGTTTCGATTTTTCTCTCATTCATATTTGCATTCTCTCGATGCAGGAGAGCTACCAGAGGTTTCCGAAGATTGACTATGTCCTTCTGGTTGAGCCTGACATGCGCCCCGTGTCAACGACCTTCAAGCGTTCTGCCTTGCGGCAGAGGGAGGTCGTGTATGCCGTCCGACGCTCTGGGAAGGAGTCTCGAGGACTGAGCCCGCGCCGAGACGGCAGCCCTGGGGCCCTGGGGCCCTGGGTTCCAAATGACACTGATGGATGCAGCAGAACCCTGCAGGAGAGCGCTTGGCCGACTCGGTAGGCACCTCAGGTCTCTGATGATGGGTCAATGATAAGGAACCTGAGATCGATGGGTTTGTTGTGCCGCTGGTTGAACATCTCAACAATGTCTCAACATATTCATTTTGATTCTGCTCCCTTTTTAGATGTTGAATCTGCGGGATTTTCTCACAGCCACCTGTGGCCCTGCGTCCTTGTCATCATGTCAGAGTATAGAACTATGGACTATGGTGAATCAGACCTTGGTGGGGCCTACTGAGGTCTTTCGCAACGATGGGCGCTGGTATTTCAAGTTCCGCGTGCATGAGAGCCCCATCTACCGGCGAGCCGAGGGCCATCCGGGTGTGCCGAACCAGGTGAGTGACACTGGCTGGGCAGTGCTGGAAGTCACTGGAAGTGTACGGGATGCACAGCAGCGGCACAAGAGAATCAGAGCCACGGAAGCATCAGAACGAATAGGCAGGACCATTTTGACTGCTTGATCATCGGTTTCTTCCGCTTTTCCTTCTTGCAAGCGCCATCGTTTGCAAGCAGATGAGGAGAGGAGCTTCGGCTGGTGGGAGAGGATTTGCGAGACTATCCGGGGCACCCACGCCTGAGCTACTATGCTGGCGCCTTGCGCTATGAACTCGCTATGGAGCTTGGGTCTGATGTGGAGCGGCAGGAGCTGGCACGGGAGGCGGTGAAGATCTTGCAGCGAAGATCCCGTGATGATGCAAAAGGTCAGGAAGAGGAGCAGCAGCGCTCCGCTGCTGCGTACTTCTGTGGCCGAAGCTATTGGGATTTGCGGCTTGGAGAAATCATGAAAGTCAGCGTCAGCTAGCCGGAGTTACTCTTGCTTTAGCAAGTCATTGGTTGGGGAATGGAATGGCCTACCCAGTGAACAATTCATGTGTAGACCCCCCCTCCCTGGCCAGGGTCAACCTCCCCCTTCGACCGAGGCCTTGGAGAGGACAATCTACCAAAAGCTATAGATCATTTGAGTGTCGCCTTCATCGTCGTTGTCGTCTTTGTTCCTTGTCCTAGGCTGCTCCTCCCCTCATCGCCTGCGTTTCGCTTGTGTTTCTGCGCTCGTGTCGCCCATGTTTTGCCTGCGTTTGGCGTCATTTTTCCATCAATTCGTAGCATACCTCATGACCTGCTTTTTCCACAGAAACTTTCTCCTCCACCTGGCTTGTACGCCAAACCATGGTTTTCACCACGCACCCTTTGCAACAACCCCCGGTTTACACCAAGCAGCGGTTACTCGAAACCACGGTTTACACCAAAGCACGATTTACACCACACACTGCGGGATTCAACGCCCCTTGCTCGGCTTCAGGTCTTTGTGTGTGTGTGTGTATATATATATATTGTATGCTCAATGCCTCTCACCACTTCTCGTTTCCAGACCCTGCTAGCTTTCGTCACCAAACCTTGGCCTCAAGTGAGGCGAAACGGAATCAAATGAGCAGAATTTAGCCTCCACGTTTGAAGCACAATCGTAACGTATCAGAAGTGCATTTGCCAATGAAAGGTGTTTCTTCCTGTTCCATCTGTTTCAGGCTCGGTGATGTGAGAAAGGCAGAGAAGTGGTTGAAGACATCCTCCAAGCTGGAGAGGGGTTTCTTGTATCCACGTGTGGCACTGATCCAGCTGCTTTTTGCCTGAGACCATCGCCGTGCGTCTTTTTCGGGGTCGGTTCGGTGCTCGCTCCGGGGTTCGAACCAGAGTTTTTCATATAGAGACTGCGGTATGCAAACTTAATAAAGGTTTTATGTGGAGCCATGGTTCACAAAACCCCGAGAAGGTCTCGTGTTTCGGGGGGTCTGAGACTGAGACCCCTTCTGAAAAAGTTGATCCATGGGTTTTGGGGGGATTCCCCAAAGACTAAATCTCTTCATGAGGGACCTGGATGGGGAGTGAGATGCTGTAATTATGTAGATTGAAAGGAATTAGTGCTTTGCACAATTAAGGCGGCTGAAAGGAGTTGAAACTGACCTCCCCTTGCGGTGAATACTGTGGAAAAATCAGATGCGAGCGAAAAGAAAGGCAGTTAGTATTGCAGATATTGCAGGAACAAGGCCAGGCGGACAAAACTGGTACGGGAGAGTGTAGCGCTGCATGAAAGAAACAACAACTCTACATCGCAGCAATCAGTGTCCCAAAAGTATGGCTACGAAAGTCTACCAAATCCTCTGGGTGTGCCAAGGGTATGGCTACGAACATCTACCAAATCCTCTGGTTTTGGAGGGCTTTTTCTCAATGGTAATCATGGCTTGACATGATACCATAAGCTTTGGATACTCATGACATGCACAGAGAGGGTGGGAGTTTCTACCTCCCTTGAACTGCTCGCGGTGCAACCATGGAGGTCGCGAGTCGCCAGCGTTGTGAACTCGCGTTTTGCGCGTCCTCGGTGGCCGAGGCTGTTTCAGCAGCAGCGGTACGTGGAAGCGCTGGAGGAAGCTCAGAGCGCCGAAGCGGAGTTGCTGCCGCAGCAGCCGCGGCTCTTTATGGATTCTTCGGGTAGCACTGGAGTTGAGGTTTTCTGTTCCAGGTAGCTGACTAGCTATCATTGTCAGGGTTTCCCAGTCGCAGCTTCTCACCCCGAACTTTGGAACCACACTCTGATTGCCAATTCTATTTCCTTGAGTCTTCAAAGCCTGAAACTCTTAAGCCCACTTTTCGTTGCAACTTTCTTGGTGTCTGTTTTTGCTTTGGAGCCACAAGCCCTGGTCGCCTGGAATTGTTTGACTCGAAGCCTGGTTGTTTAGAAACCGCCCCAGAACTCCAGAACTTGGAACTCATCCTGGAGTTCCATGCTTTGATCGCCACCTGTGGCCTTTCTGGAGGCCTTTCCTGGTCCCATCGCATTGGGATCCGCATGCCTATTTATTTTGCATTTGGATTCTGCAGACCCGCGGTCGTTCAGAGACCGCGTTTCATGGAGCAGCCACAGCCCCGCGGCTGCTCCAACCCCCGGTTCGGCAACATGCATTCCCAGCGGATGAGAGATGTGCTCAGGACAGTGGCCCGCTCCATGCCTCCAGACTGCAGTTTTTTCCAGCACCGGCCACGTTCGGCCGGGTGTCGATGGCCAAGGTGTGTGATGTGCCGCTCCTCCTGAGCAAGGCGATTTACTATGTGCACACCAATGCCACACTCGACCGATTCGTGGCGTGACCTTTGTGCACACGACTGAGTTATCTGTTCTCATGGAAGGGGGGCATTTTGGGAAGAAGGTTTTTTTGACCAAATACGAGGCGATCATATCACCCAAAATGCAATGAAAACTGCCTGGTTGGTCGTGTGCTTGCTTTGACGGGCTGTGGGGTTGGTCTGACGTTGGATATCCTACGAACACCTACATTGACAACAGCACAGCAGACATTGAAGATGGTTCCCTCATCTCTGAAACAAAAAACGCCTGTGAAACCCGTGATTTCGCAAGTTCACACCTGTAAACGCTTCTTGGGTGGGCATTCTTGTGGGCTTGGGGTTCCACCGGCGGAGGACCCCTTACTGATGTGCTCAGGAGCTGGGCTCAGCGGCCTCTGGGAGCGGCGAGGGGAGCTCCTGGCACGGTGTGAGGCGAGTTGCCCAAGCGCTGGAGACACGGCCGTGAGGCAGCCGAAATGACGCGAGACACGGTGCGGCCGGGCATTTTTCATTTTGCACCCACTCAGCGGGGATGGGTGGTTCGTGGTTTCGTCGTGCTTTATCAATCTCCCAGTGATGCTTGTCATGCATGATTGAAATGGGTGCATCATCTGCATTTTGAACCTACATCACCCTATCAACCTGTCTCAGTACCTTCTGTTTGCGCACTTAAGCAAGCTCTTTGGCTTTTCGAGTGCCAATGGTGGCCAGAGCAGGAAGATGCAAGACATTGCGAAGCTCAAGGCCTTCTGCACCGGGCTTCTCATTTTGTGACTATGAAGCCAGAGAGGTCATCATTCTTCTATCCATAATCCTTTGAATGCAGGGAGGCCTTTGTGTTGAAGCTCACGTGGAGAGGCTGGCCCCTAGCACTTTCTTGCTCTCCGGATTGCATGTCGGGGTGCCACCGTCCTAGCTTCCAACCATGTTGTTTTCTGCCAGGAGTTTTGGCAAATCGAAGGCGCATCGTGCCAGCCGCACATGGGTGACAGCTGCAGAAGCAAGCCATGATACACAGGAACTTCACTGTCATGATGCTGGGATGGCTTCCTGAGCCTCGGCGCTACAGAGCGCTGAGCAAAACAGTGAACGTTCGTGTAGTGCCGGCTGCCACACGACTCTGACGCGGAGGAACGTGTTGAGCTCGGTGACTGGGAGGTGAACGCGCTGACCTGCGTGGCCATGACTCGGTAGCGGTGGAAGCACACCAAGATTGCATGCTGCAGTTGCGTGCGACTGTGCTGCCATGTGCTGTCCACAGTCCACCGTCAAGGAAACCGCACCGCACATGCCACTTCGCGCATCCAAAAGAAAAGGGAGCGACTTTGGGTCGGCACGTTTTTCAAACTGCGTATATACTTGGCATCAGGAAACGAGCACCTTGATGAAGAAACAAACAAAAAACTCCTCAGGATGTACAATTGGAGAATGTTGAGAACCGACTGCATCCATTCCCTCTCATTGATGCTTTCCCATACTAACCCACTTCTTCGGACGTCCGAGGCTTGCCGCCCTGGTGAGTCGGGCTTGCAGCTGGTGGGGGCCGTGCCGTGTCTTCGGCCGAAGGATGGACCGGGGAGACGGGGGCGACGAGCTTGGGCATCGCAAATCAACAGACATGATGCGAGCCTTTCGCCCGAAGTCCAACTTTGGACAGCATTCCTGATCTGATGGTACGATATTTTGCCAGATCTTTGTCGTACCAATATGTTTGCAAAAGATTCTTTTGGCACCGATGCTCACAAGGCCAACACATTTTTTTGCTTTGAAGCAGGTGTTGCAAATTGAAAGATGTTGATTCATATGATAAGGAATGATGCTTAATTGATTATATATATATATATATAAGTAATTGTTGCATGGACAGGGTGGACGTGGGAGTTTAGTGTTACTACAAAAGCCCCTGAGCACATCAAGTGCGGCTCAGCTCAGGCTCTACCTCAAGAAGCACAGTGAGGGCGAATTCTGCGAAGAAGCAGACTGGATTGAGGCGCTTAAGAGCGCAAAGGGCCAGGGGTATGGAAGTCCTCACGTGTTCAGCAGACATTTCTGCCACCAAACTGGACAGATGCACCAATCAATAATAGGCTCCACTCTCCGACCTCAGGCTTCGTGGAGGCATAAGAACTCCCACTGGCCACGACTTTTTGTGGGCGTGTCACTGGCTCAGAGCTCGCAATCGGATTTTGTGAGGTTAGTCTTGGCAGTCCAGTCTTTGTGCGGACACATGGTAGAAATTCACACCCCACCAAACGGCTACAATGTGTCCGCACAGAGACTGAACTGCCAAGACTAACCTCACAAAATCGGTGCTTAAAAACTAACCGCTAATGATGTGCAGGATGCGGTGCTGTGAAGGTCTTTGGGCCAACCGACCAACAAGACATGAGGCCTTTCACACCTCACCGTGGCCGACGCCTGATCACTGCAGCGCCTCAGCGAAGGATATCAGCGTGGGTCATTTTTCCCGAATGCGTAGCGAAGGGTTCCCGTTTATAGTTGGGGGTCTGGGGGTTGGAGCTGTGTTCGCGTGGCTTGCGTCGTGTCGTCGTCTCTCGTCGTCTGTCGTCGTCTCTCGTCGTCTCTCGTCGTCTGTCGTCGTCTGTCGTCGTCGTCGCGTCTCAAATTTGCTGCCATTGGGGGAAGCTTTTGCAAGTGACTTTGCATGGATGTGTCACGTGTCAGTTTGCGCCGCTATTCCATTGTGATTTGTGTGACACGGACATGTCGCGCAAGAAACGTGATGCACTTCGCTGCACAGGCGCAGCGTTTTGTGAGATCCGCAGGTTACGGCACAGTTCCATTGGGATTAGCGTTTGGAGAGTCGTGTTTTTGGGGTGTTGGATGTGGCCGTGCCATTGGGATTTGCGTTTCAGGGCGTGGCATCGAAGCTCTGCTTTCGTGACAAGTCTCAGCTGAAATGGCGATTTTGATGGATGGGAGTGTGCTCTGAACGGGTCGAAATCATTCCAAACGTGTGGTGTGGTGCAAATTTTGTTGAAGCTCACATGCGATGATATTGTCACTTTTCGTGGCAGGCGCAGGACTTCGTGCGGGCTTTGAAGCGTGGAAGTGCAATTCTCGTGGCAGGCGCAGGGAATCGTGAGGTTGCGAGGTGTGAGGGAGGTGACATTTCGTGGCAGGCGCAGTACTTTGTGCGCGTTAGACGTGTGGATGGGGAAGACTCGTGGCAGGCGCAGGGAATCGTGAGGTTGTGAGTTGTGGTAGAGGTGAATGTCGCTGTCTTATTGGGATTGGCGTGTGAGCGGATGTTGTTTGGAGGGGCTGGAATCGCGAAACTGCTTGGCAGGGCTGCGTGATGTGTGTGCTCCGATGGGTGTTTCCGCTTGACTTTTGGAGGAAGTCTCGTACGAAACGCTCGTTTTGCAGACTTTGACGTGTGAGTTTTTGAGGAAGTCTCGTACGAAACGCTCGTTTTGGAGACTTGACGCGCAACCCTCTGCGGAGATCGTGCGTGTCGAGTGCACCAAATGCAGGCGAGAGTGCGATTTGTCCCATGCGCGCGCAACCCTCTG